CCCCTGAACTCAAAGGATCATCCTGGGTTTGGTGCATGCCTGTAATCTCAACTACTCAGGAGGTGGAGACAGGAGGATCATAAATTCAAGGTCAGCTTTAGCAATTTACTGAGACTGTAAGCTACTTAGGGAAACTATTTCAAAATCAAAAATAAAAAAGACTGGGGATATGGCTCAGTGGTAAAGCAATCCTGGGTTCAATCCCCAGTGCCCGGGAAAAAAAAAAGTCCAATCATCCTGCCTCAGGCTTCCTAGTGCTGGGATTACAGACGTGTGCCACCACGCCTAGTCTTGTTTTATTTTGGTACAGTAAATAATCTGTTTACATGTGTGTCTAGAAGGATCCATAGAAGAGTGTTAGCAGTGATTATCTTTTGGTGTTGGACTCTGGGGAGATTTTTTTTTTTTTTTTTTTTACTGGGGATTGAACTCAGGGGTGCTTAACCACTGAGCCACATCTCCAGCCCTTTATTTATTTATTTATTTATCTATTTATCTATCTATCTATTTATTTATTTATTTAATTTAGAGACAGGGTCTCGCTGAATTGCTAAGTTCCTTGCTAAATTGCTGAGGCTGGCTTTGCGATCCTCCTGCCTCAACCTCCCAGGCCGCTGGGATTATAGTCACGCGCCACCATGCCTGGCGAATTTGGGGAGATTTTTATTTCCATCTTTTTTTTCACATGTTATCATTATTGTGGAAATACGCATATGCATATATATATCATAAAATTTATCCTTTTTTTCTTTTAAGTATACAATTCAATGGCATTAAGGTATATTCACAATCTTGCGTGACCATCCCCACTATCCATTTCTAGAACTTTCCCATTATCTCAAGCAGAAGCTCTCTGTACCTTTACTCCATCTTCTCCCCAATTTCTGGTAACCTCTGTCCTACTTATTATCTTTATGAATTAGCCTAACCTAGGCACTCCATATACGTAGAATCACACAATATTTTTTCTTTCATGGATATTAATCTTTCTGTTTGTCTATTTTTTTTAAAAAAATTTATTCTTTTATTTATATATGGTGCTCAAAATTGAACCCAGTGCCTCACACATGCTAAGCAAGCACTCTACTACTGAGCCACAACCCCAGCTCCTGTTTGTTTATATTTTTAAAATAAAATAAAATAAAATGAATTTATTTTACTTGTGTAATAGAAATGGATAAAAACTCTGAAGTAGGTGGCGTGAGGGAGAGAGTGTGAGTTGTCATATTTGGCCTCAGATGGTTCGATTTCAGCCAGGGCCACAGGGCCCTGCTGGTCCTTCCTTCCTTTGATGCCGCAGCTCCTGCAGTGAGATCCAACCAGGTAGAAGTTGAGACCTTTCTTAAAGATTGAGGGAGTCTCAAGTTTTCTATTCCAAGCATCTTCTGTGTGTTCTAAACCCTGTGAGTGACCTGGATGTGCCACATACCCATCATGGCAGCCACGAGAATGGCTGTTGAAAGCTTTGTCCATGGTGTAGGCTGGGGTTCAGGGAGGACTTTAGCTGCTGGGATCCAGGAGGCCCCAAGTACTCTGGAGATATGAGCAGTAGTTTCAGATAATTGTGCCCTTTTCCTAAATCTCCATGCAGGATCTTTTTGATCACATGGACATCTGGGGCGGGGATTGTTCGCTGTGTGTGGACTTTAGGGCAGTGGGGTAGTAGCTGGTGAGCTCTGTCTGCATTTCGGGTTACATCTGAGTTGACAAGCAGCTGTGGGACCCAGGACTGGGAAGCCAGGTCTCATGGCTCTATTCAGGGGTCACGACATGGGTCAAGTGGCTTTTCTCCAGTATGCCTTGTTCTGTGACAAGGGCTTTAAGTTCCTTAAGTGAGCTCCCTGTGGGCCTGCTAGGCCTCCAGCATGTCGGGAGGAGTGTGTGGGTCTACAGGGCTCTCAGGATGTTTCTTTACCTGGCTGTGCTTTTTCGTCCGTCCAGTGGACAACTGTCTTTGGAATTCCAGACAGGGAAGTATAAAGAAGATTCTAGAAAAACAGCCTTTGAGGGCCATGTTGGAGAAGCTCTGTTTTTTAGGAGGCTGATTTTCCTGTAGGCTTTGTTAGCTTTTCACCGGAGGGCAGGCAGAGGAGGGCCTGAATATGATGTTGTGAAAGACTTCCCCTCAACCTCCTGGAAATGTTCTGGAAACCCCCAGATGACCCATCTCTCCTGGCACTAGGATGGCTTCCAGATCTGATGTGTGAGGGTGAATTTCCCCCCACACGCTGTTGGTGTGTTAATGAGGTTAGAGGAGGGTAGATAAGATGCCCCCACAATGGCTGCCCCTTGGGAGGGCCCAGAGTATATCAGAGCCATCCCTCTCTTCCCTCCTTACTGCTTCTCACATCCAAGGGACCTGCCTGTCTCCGGGGGTGGGGGTAAGGGGCGACCCCGTCAGGTTTTCTGGCCCTGACTCCAGGTAGCAAGTAAAGGAAACCCCAAGATCTCTGCACACGAAGCTCAGAGTCTCAGCCTGTGGCCCACCATAAAAGGAAGAAGTGCTGGGGTTCCCTTCAGGAAAGGGATGTGAGGTCAGAGGTGAGTCTCAGATTGGCCTGTGACTTGGAGACGACCCAGTAAACAGGACGTGTGGCCATCACAGAAACCTGTGCTCAGAGGAAACAGGGAACTGGAGCCAGCCCTTCCTTACCTGCCCGGATCAGCCAGCAGGTCTGCAGAGCTGAGAGACCAGCCCACGGACAGGCAGGTGTGTGGGAGCTCAAGGACACAGACTCATGTCCTGCCTACAGGATGGCCTCCCTGTAGGATGTGACTCCATTTATGTCCCTAATTATTGGGCTAGAAGGAAGCTTCATTTGCCTTTATCCAGGTTAGACATTAAAACTGTCCTATCAAATGTCCCTTGGTTTTGAGAATTGCAGGTCAGAATGTTTCTTATTTGCAGATAAAGATGGTAGGGTTTAAGTCTCTGGTTTCTCTGAGTCAGAGTCTAAGTTCTCTGACCTACTTTGTCCTATAGTAAGTCATAAGACCCTCCTTGTCCCAGAGGGATCTTGCCTCATAACCTGGAGTGGGGAATGCCACACGGAGAGGCCAAGAAGAATGCAGGCCTTGCTGGGTTTCCCCTCCCTGTCTCTTGGCATTAGATAATACCTTTTTTTGTCTAATCACATTTCGACCCAGTTGTTCATGCATAAATACCCAAAAGGCTTGGGTTCAGAGAGCTCCCAGAGAAGTAAGCATGTGGAGGTTCCTACAGGGTGGCACACCTGGAGAGGTCACAGAAGCTCCGCACCTCTTCACCCAGACCTCGCTCTGTGCATCCTTCATTCCTATCCTCTGCAACAGCTTTTACAATAAACATGTGAACATAAACCGCATTAGCTAATTAATCAAAACTGAGAAGGGGGTTGTTGGAACCCTAATTTGTAGTTGGTGCATTCAAAACACAGGTAAAGCTGCCTGGGACTAGTGACTGGCATCTGAAATGTGGGAGGTGGTCTAGGGGACTGAGGCCTCAAGCCATGGGATCTGACACTCTCTCCAGGAGGGTAGTCTTTCCTGATGTGGGTTAGAGGATGCTGAGCTGGTGTCTACAGCAGAATTGATTGCTAGTGGGAGAAATCCCCATGCACTTGGGCACTTGGTGTCAGGAGACTTCTGTGTTGACTACAGTGTGAGGGGACTTTGCTTTTCCTGACATTTCTCACACATCACATATACATACCCTCACTCATGAACATCCCATAAGCATGGACACATGCCACACCCGCACACATTCATACCACACGCACACCCACCCCCCGTCCCCACACACATACACATGTACACATACCCCACCAACACCACACCCCACACCACACACCCCCAAACATGCCACGCACACCGTGCTTACACACCCAAACCTGTAATTCACGTCCACTCACATGTACCACTTTTTCTGTCTAAAAGTTTTACTTCCTTTAGGCCTTTTTTTTGGTTCCTGGTTTTCTGATGAGAGGTGAAGGGCCCTTGAGTTTTCTTCTAAACATCCATCCAAAAGGTTAAAAGCTGTGGAAACTGGCGGGACTTCCCTATAAACAGGAGGCTGCTCTTCCTGCCTGGGAGGCCATCGTCTGGGTGTCCCTGGGGCTGCTTTCTGGTCATTCACCTGGCCAGCGCCTGCCTGTTGGTGTGGGGCAGGAGGCAGGCCTTGGGAGCAGGGGTTCCAGCCCTGCTCCCTCAGGTCTTCCACGGGCCCTGTGGGTTGGGGAGCTCAGGCCTGTGTGCGAGGGAGGGTCTGAGCCAGAAAGCCCAGGAGGGGCCCCAGTTGGTGTGGAAGGAGAAGGGACTTTGCAGAGCTACCTGCTTGGGGAGTCCCAGCCTTGCTGCTTGCTGCGTTTCAGTTCCTCATCTCCCTGGTGGCCCAGGCTGAGATGCGTGTCAGGAAGGGCCTGTGTTTGGTATTGGCCAATAGCTGAAGCTTTTTCTAGGGGTGAGGGTGGGGTGGAAAAGATTTGTGGGGCCTGTGATGGGGAAGTAGTTCATCTCTAGACAGGGTGCTATGTGACTAGGGTCGTGGCTCTGTGAATGCCAGTGCCCAGGCTCCTGGACAGGGATCTGCATACTCTAGGCCTGCAGGGAGGGTCAGGGTCTGCCTTTCCTCTAGCCTGTCTGCAGGGTCAGTCCCTCCCTCCCTCTATTCCCCAGGACTCCCAGCCTGCTGCTGCCTCCCCTGTGCCTGGGTGGGAGTCCCTCAGATCCAGCTCTCAGCAGATACCAGAGAAGGAGCACAGGCTTCAGGCCAGCTGTGTCACCTGGAACAAATTGCCTAACCTCTGGGACCTTCTGTTTCCTCAAAGCAGTGAAAATAAAGCCCTCCCTGTGGGGTTCCTGGATGGACTGAGATAGAGCACAAGCCTTTCCTAGGAGCATTAGCACAGCCAGGAGCTTGTTAGAAACACAGTATCTTGGGAATGTGGCTCAGCGGTAGAGCACTTGCCTGGGCACGCATGAGGCTCTGGATTTGATCGCCAGCAACGCAAAAAAAAGATAGAAAGAAAGAAAGAAATGCATCATCTCCCGACTCCACCCAGAGTCACTGAGTTACTGATTTAGAAACTGCAGGTTGAGGGTGGCAGGCATCTGGGTTTTAGCAAGGCCTCCAGGTTCTGATCCCCACTGAGGCAGACCCTCCAGACTACAGCTGGCTCAGTTGATTTGGTGAAATCTCCTTCCCTTCACTCCAAGGGGAGCTGTAGTATGTAGGGGTTCTGCTTTGCCACGGTGCCATCTTGAGTTTGGACCTCAGCTCTGCTCCTTGCCAGCTGTATCTTTGGGTAAGTTATGTAGCTTCTTTGTGCCTTGATTGCTTTACCTGCAAAATGGGGATAATAAAATTTCTTTTATTGTTTGGTGGTGTTGGGGATCGAACCCAGAGACTCATGCGTGTTAGATAAGTCCTCTACCACCAAGCTACACCCTGAACTCTTCATGGGGTTGTTGTGGGGATTAAATGAATTGAAGTAGATAAATAGAGAGCCTGGAGTAAGTTCTGCATGGTAGTTGTCTACTTATTTGCATTTGTTGTCTTATCATAGCCCAAAAGGTTCCCTAGTTGTTCTGTTTCCCATTTGTGGGGAAACCGATATTGAGGACCCCCTACAACTGATCTTCTGCTAGAGCTTTTAGACTGAGTCCTTTCCCCCAGGCTTCCTTCATTCTGTTCCTCCTGAGCAGGGCAAAGTAACTTCCGTAATGCTTAAAATTTGGGGGTTGGGGGAGGAAGTCAAAAGTAAATCTTTGAAAGTGGAGTACATTCTCCCAGGACACTTGACTTCAGTGTCCCTCCAGGCAAGTGTTTGGTGCTGGATCCCTTCCTGAGCAGGGTGGCTGGGAAAGCCACATGGTGGACTGTCAGTGGGTCCCTGGAGATCTGGAGAGGGGATGGGGAAGGAGGTGTTGGAGTTTGTTTGGGGAAGGGTCTGGGGATGAGCAGATTCCAGGGAGGATGCAGCCTGGCCAGGAAGTGGGCCTTCTGTTGACTGAGGCATGCAGGTGGAAAAGGGGCACCTCGTTTCCTTCAGTGTCAACCCGAATTTTGCCCAGGCCCCTGGCAGGCTCAAGTTGGTGAACCTCTGTGTAGAATCTCTTGTCATCTCCAGATCTTGGCAGGAACCCAGCCCACAACTCAAGTCTCCTTCCTCATGTAGCGCAATGGGGCCGGGGTTTCCTGTTTGCCATTGGCACTTCTTCCTGCCCTGCTATCAGGACAGTACAGAGGGCCCCATGTTATCTCCTCTGTCGCTGCTTGGGTACAAAGCAGATATCCTGGGAGACCAAACCAAATAATTTTTAACACCATAGTATGAAGCACTGTGTCAGATAACTCTGTTGTGCAACCCAGGAGATCCAGATTGTCCTTAGAGGCAGGGGCAGGGCTCAGAGAAGAGGTGGGGACAGGCCCCAAAAGGGGAAGCTGCAGATCTCCAGTGAGCATTTCCTGTACATCAGGCCTAGAGCCCAGGGCTGACTTCCTGGCTTCTGTGACATGGTGCCCTGGTTTGCAAGAAGGCCTTTTGCACCAGCTCTGTGCGTGCAGATGCCGCCTTTGGGATACTGTGCAATGTCTCCTTGGAATTCTTAATAACAGGAAGGAGGTGCTAAATACCCAATTCAGGTTGCTTTTAGGAATTTCCATTCCTTCCTTTCTTCAAAGGATATTCTCTCACTGATCAGGTGGTAGCTGGAGGGTCTGCCACCCTGGGAACCGCCCACGGGAAGCCCTCTCCTCCTGGAGTCTGTCTCTCCCTCCTTGCAGGTGTTTTTTCTTAGAGTCGAGCCTGTAAATTGACTTCTGCCCTAATGCCCTCCCCAGGCCCCACTGGGAGCTGAGGTGCAGGTGGGGTGGGGTCTGGCTCCTGCCATACAACCAGGAGGACAGTTTGGGAAACAAAAACAGCTATCAAAGGGAATTCTTCATCCATCTCATTCTGGACTTTCCAGGGGTTGTGCCTTTCTGTTCTGCATTTGCCACCCACCCCCCCGCTTTATTTTTCCTGGGACTTTCCAGACAACATATAAGAGGAGAGGTGCTTACTCTAACAGCTGGGACAGAAACCACAGGGAGCTAGCCTCTGGGCTCCCTGACTGCAGGGAGTGAGGGCACTGGCATTTGGAGAAACCAAGGGCTAAGAACAGATTTTGTCTTTGGAGAGCGCTCTGGATGCTGTTCCTACCTTCTAGGGCTTCTCGAGGATTTGGCATTTGCTCTCCTCAGAGGAAGCTGAGCCTGTGAATTTCCGAGCCTTGGACAGCCCCTCATTTATTTTTCTGGGAGGCTGGAAACACCTGTGAATGAGGTCTGTGACAAGAAAGAGGGGAGGCTCCTTAGAGTGCCGGTGACAGGGCCTTGACTGGCACAGAGCTGGCCCTGGCAGCTGCTTCTTCCCAGCTTGGCAGAGCCAGGCTGCGCTTCTGTACCAAACTCAGGGTGCGCTGGATGCTGAGGTACCCACCCAGGTTCCCTTTATCTACAGAGTGTTGTGAGCACCAGCTCCTGCAGGCCTTCACTGTCCCCTTTATCCTGAGACTAGCTCTTGCTAGTCTCTTGCAGGGAAATGCTGGAGAGTCACCCCCCATCCATGAGTGTCACTCATCAGTGTCTGACTGGCACATAAGGTCTGTCCCCCCTGCTTCTAGCTCGACAACCGCACGCTCTTTGCACCCCAGAGCTCCCTTGGGAGCAGGCTGAGTCTGGCCTCCTGCAGACCCATGCATCCCCTCCTCATTGCCAATCCTGCCCGGCTTCCCTCTCTCCCTTACAAGTTTCTCTGAAGATGGGTCCTCCTCCTGCTCCTAGGGATCGCTGAGCAAAGCCGCAGGTTCCCTTCCCTGGGCTGCTACTGACTCCATCCCTTTTCTTGAGTCTTGGCAGGAGAGAGGCACAGGCTGGGAGCTGTGGGCCCAGAGGAAGGAAGGGTCAGGCCCAGGAGGGGAAACACCAGACAGGATTTCTGAATGGAGCTGTAAGAAGGAGCAGTAAAAGGGCTGAGCACCTGTCCCCACACAATGAGGACATTGGGGACAATGGTGACAGTTCAGAGTGGGAGGTAAGTTTGAATCAGGGTCTAGGGAACATGTGAGCTTGCTGGAGTCTGAAGAAGGGACATGAGAACACCTACAGGGCCTGGGAAGCAGGTTCCACGTTAAATGTGTCACATTAATGACCAAGGAACCTTTCCTTTGTAAGGACATTCTCAGGGGTCTTTGGGGAGGTCATGCCCTTGAGTTGTCTTAGAAACAGGCAGGCAATCATGATGGGTCTCCACATGGGATGAGCTAGATCCCATCAACCAGCTGGATGGCCTCACCCCGGTGGTTAATGGAGCTGAGGAGAATCCAGAATATTCCGCCAAAGCAGGAAGCTAGTGCTAGAAGGGAAAACTGACTGGTCGGTGGTCCCAAAAGAAACCCAACGTGTCTAAGAGGCTCACTGTCAAGTAGGCAAGTCCAGCAATAGTCACATCTAAAGTTTTTGCAGATGTGCTTTGTAATTAGTAGAATATATGTATTTTATTTTCTAAAGTGATTTTTCTAAAAAGAAGTATTGATTCTTTTTTTCTCCCCATTGGTGCTATTGGGGCTTGAACCCAGAGCCTTGTGCCCGCTAGGAAAGCACTCTGCCACTGAGCTATACCGGCCCTTTTTATTTTATTATGGACCTTTATTTTATTTATTTACATGTGGGGCTGAGAATCAAACCCAGTGCCTCCCCATGTTAGGCAAGTGCTCTGCCACTGAGCCACAATCCCAGCCCACGAGTTAGCATCTTTTTTTAAAAAATTATATCTTCTGTATTTTGAGTTTTGAATATAAAGGTTTTCCCACTTGAAGTTTACACTACATTTCCTTCAGCATTTTATTTATTTCTTCCTCTCTCCTTTCACTGTGTGATAAGCTCGGAGGTGTCAATGCTGCTGATGTGGGAAGCACCCCCTTTTCTCCTTTCCCTTTCCCTTCTAAAAGACCTGGTGACTGTCGGTCTGCATTCCCAAGGCATTGTGGGAAGTGATGCTAGTAAATGATTCTTACAGGGCATTTTAGAGCACAGGAGGACTCCAAAGGGTCTAGATAATAACTGGGGAGACAGAAGATTTGCAATCAGCTGGATGTGCGAATCCCTCTCTCCAAGGCCACAGATGTTGGCAGGAACCCTTGGAGGAAGTCTCCAATTGAATCCACATTCCAACCCCATAAACGTCTTCCTCTGACTCTTCCTTATGTGAGGAACAATACTCTGTTTGAGACCTAACTCTAAATTTCCGGCCCTTTGTTAAGGGCTGTGTTTGCCCTAAAGCGTGCATGCATAACTTGAGCTTGGTTTTTGCAGCTGGCTGGGGTAGTCAGGGATTTGGGGTCATGGTTTGAAGGTTTGTGAAGAGAGATGTAGATGTTCCCAAGGCAGACAAAGTAGGGGTGGTGTCCTAGAATCACTTACCTGGAATTTCAGTTTGACAATATGGTAGACTATGGGACCATTTTCCTAGTGCTCCTTTCCTGAGATGTAGAAAAAAGATGGGGAGAAGTCAGATTAGAAACATGAGGAGCAACATGAGCCTATACGTTGGATTTATTGTGATGGCCTTGATAAGATCACCCAACAGGTAGAAAATGACTGGGTCTGTGTGAGTTTGTATATTTGGGATCATCAGACTACTTGATTTGAATCAATCTGGTAAGTAAAAAGGTCATGAGGGTCACGATCATGAGGTCTTTTCATAGGTTTATTATTATTTTGAATTTATTTTTCTGTGAATTATGTCCCTTGGGCCATCCCGCCCCCTTTTTCTCTTCAAAATGACTATAGGACCTTTTTCTTATTGTTTTATTAAAGCCCTTTATATATTAAAGACATTAGCTATTTGTTTCATGTATTGTAAATATTTTCCCCAATTTGATGTTTGCCTTTGTATAAGGTTAAATTTTGTTTTCCAGAAAAAAGTTAATATTTTTACAAGTTAACATCTTTTTTTTTTTTTTTTAATGGTGTTGGGGATTGAACTCAAGGCCTTGAGCATGCAAGGCAAGCACTCTGCCAACTGAGCTATACCCCCAGCCCAGTATCATTTAAAAAAAAATTATTTTTAGTTGTCAGTGGACCTTTATTTTATTTATTTACATGTGGTGCTGAGAATCAAACCCAGTGCCTTACACATGCTAGGCAAGTGCTCTGCCACTGAGCCACAACCCCAGACCCATGAGTTAGCATCTTTTTTTTTTTTTTAGTTCATATTGAATATCTTTTAATATTGTTCTTTTTAAAATTTGTTTTAATTAG